ACCACTAAACCAAAATGCTATTTTTGCAATATGATTTATTCCCACATTTATTGCATGTTTCTGGACTCTGTATTCTGTTCCACTGATCTATTTGTCTAGACATGTTCCTATTATCATTTTAATTATAGTAGATTTATGGTAAGTTTTAAAATGTAGTAGGACAAGCTTCTCATTATTTTTCTTGTTCAGAATGTTCCTGCACTCTTGCATATTTATTCATCCATATGGACTTTAAAACAGTTTGGTCCAGTTCCAAGGGAGCCCTTTGAGATTCCCAGTGGAATATTACTATTGATGAAAATGGACAGATGAAAGTCTTCCTTAATATAATGGAGCATTATATTCTTATTAATTTTTGGTTTTATCCTTTTGCTTTTGTGAATGGGCTCTCATCACCCCCACTTTCCATTTCCAACTAGATTTCTAGTCATAGATTACAACAAATTTTCCTTGTAAGCACATTACAAAATTGACTTATTAGTTCAATAGTTTTCTAGTTCAGTCTTATGGATTTCCTAGGGAAGCAATCATGTCATTTGCAAATAAAGATTATTTCTCTTCTAATAGATACAGGTTGTTTCTTGTTCTTGACTCATTACAATAAATTCTTCAAAACAATATTGAATATTACTACTGATAATGAATGTACAGTTTCCTTTCCTATCTAAATGATAATGTACCCAGTGTTTCATGTTTTATGCTTCCTTTTTTGTGATTAAAAAATTAGTTTCCATCATGTTTAGGTAGTTTCTTTATTTCTATTTCTGTTTTACCTAGACTGTTTTTCTGGAATGGCTACTGGAGTCCTGGTGTGGTGCTGTAGGTTAATGCACTGGACTGCAAAGTCGGTTTGAACCACAAGGTCAGTGGTTCAAGATCACCAGCTGCTCCTTGGAAACCCTATACAGGGCCGCTATGGGTCAGGATTGACTTGACGGCATTCAACAACAACAGACTTTTACCAATTTTTTTACACCTTTAAAATTTTCTAAAATGTTAAAATAAATTTTGTTAGATTTCCCAATACTGAAACATTCTTGCATGCCCAGGATAAACTCTTTACAGTAATAATGCATTATTTTATTAATTCACTATAGAACTGCATTTGCTAATATTTAATTTAGAATCATTGCATATATATTTATAAATTTAATTTAAATTTGGTTATAATTTTTTTGAGGTTAATGTTGGAAGAGGAGTCCTGGTGTGGCACTGTAGGATAAGCACTGGACCACAGGTCAGTTTGAACTGCAAGGTCGGTGATTCAAACTCACCAGCCACTCTTTGGAAACCCTATATAGTATCACTGTGAGTCAGAACCAACTTGATGGCATTTAACAATATCAACAATGTTGGAAGAAGCATTTAATAAATCTTTAAATTAAAAAAAATGGAAAAAGTACAGTAGCCAACTCAAAGTGTCCACATGCCTGGTCACAATTAATATTAAACAAAAAAACCAAACCTAACCCACTGCTATTGAGTTGATTCTGACCCATAGCGACCCTATGGGCCAAGTAGAACTGTTCCTTAGAGTTTCTGAGATTGTAAATTTTTATGGAAGCAGTCAACCTTATCTTTTACCCTTGGAGGGCTCGTGGGTTTGAACTGCTGACCTTGAGGTTAGCAACCCAATGCCTAACCTACAATGTCACTGGAGTGTGTGGAAATGCATAGTGGAAAGGTCACAAAATATTGTTCCAGGGTCCCAGAAACTGAGAGAATCAAACTATTAAAACAATTGGGTAAACTGAGTTGATGAAATGTAGGTGGCTAATAATTTTTTGAGCAAAGGTATAACTAATTGAGACGTTTGGGGCTATGCTAAATCTCAGTAGTGACATGATGTCTCATTTGAGTGTTGTAACAGCAAGGTTAAGCAAGGACCCCATCTGCAATTATCTAATGAATAACGGACAGATTAGCATTTCAGCTAATAAGGAACTTTTAGCTTAGGTTTTCTGACCTTGAGTTATAACTAAGCTTCCTCTCTCACCTCAAAAAAACTCTATAGAATCGATTAGCTTGTATGTTAAAATGAATTCAGCTTAAAGTTTCTTTTAAAAGAAGTGGTAGACATTCCTTGAAATAAATGGAATCATTCTGGTTTTGGCAAAGCTGGTGTTAAAAATCTTATCTTTAGTCTTTTAACAAGGAAAGGAAATGATTTGTGGGAGCCTTGTTTTTCTGCCATAGGTTCCCCTACCCCTCCCTCCCCAGGGAAAATAATACAAAAAAATTTTTTTCCACAATCATTTAAGGATTCCAAGATATTATTGATGTACCTAAGTTATCCTGCCAGTAAACTAGCTAATGAGTTACTGTCAGTAGGTTTATACCTAAAATAGTGTACTAACAAAACAAAGTGTGGGTGTTTAGAAGGATGAATAAGATTTGTGTTTGTTTGTAAAATAGACTCTTTAAGGCAGAAGTTAGCAACGTCTTCAAAGGTCGATCTTTAATAGCTCTTGTTGTTGTTGTTAAGAACCGTGGAGTCTGTTCCGACTCACAGTGACCCTGCACAGGGTTTCCGAGGCTGTAAATCTTTCCAGGAACAGAACGCCTTTATCTATCTCCTGTGGAACCCCTGGTAGTTTCGAATTGCTGACCTTGAGGTTGGCAGTCTGACTCATAACCACTACACTACCAGTGCTCCTTTTTAATAGCTTTTAGTTGTTTCTAAATTTATAGTTACAGCTGTATATCAATTACAAGTTTCCATATACAAGATGTTATTTGATTCTGACTAAAACTCTGGGAATTAAACAAGACAGGTATCATCATCTTGGTTGTTTACAAATGTGGAAACAAACTAACTAAATCCTGGGTCAAACAGCTGGTGAGTAAGATGTTTGAAAATTCAGAGATTCTGTATTTTAACTGATGTAAACACACAATTTGACACATTGCTTACCAAGAAAAACAAAATCTATTGCTGTGGAGTTGATTCCAACTTATGGCAACCTTACTGTGTTTACAGAGATCTACTCCATAGAGTTTTCTTGGCTATAATCTTTATGGGAGAATTTGCTTCTGGGTGGGTTTGAATTGCCATCCTAGTTTAGCGCATGATGCTGTTGCTAGGTTCCATTGAGACAGTTCCAACTCATAGCAACCTGCATAGGGTTTCTGAGGCTGTAAATCTTTGTGTGAGGAGGAAGCCTCATCCTTCTCCTGTGAAGTGACTGGTGGGTTCGAACTGCCAATTTGTGGTTCACAGTCCCGTGCTTATCCTACAGAGCCATGTTGTTGTTGTTAAGTGCTGACCCATAGTGACCCTATATAGGGTTTCCAAGGAGCAGTCCAGTTCATTAACCTACAGTACCACACCAGGACTCTAATCCTATCCCTAACCATGGAGCTCCCCAATTTAGCATATAATATTCATATAAACTTATTGGATATTGCTGGCTGACTGACTTTCTCTAAGGAGCCTATTTCAGAGTTCTTTCTACTGTGTTATATATGCCCAAAACAAAAAACTTAATTTTTGAAATCTGAAACTAGCTAATGAGGAGTTAATATGAAAGATGGAAAAGGATATGAAAAGGTGGTAGACTGGGAATGAAATGCACAACGCAGTGTCATCCAGTCCATTTTGATTCATAGCAACCCATATGGTTTCTGAGACTGTAAATCTTATATGAGATCAGACAGCCTCATCTTTCTCTGTTGGAAAACTGGTGAGTTTGAACAGTTGACCTTGGGGTTAGCAGTCCATTGCCTAATTCACAGCATCACCAGGGCTCCTTGCTAGTGAGATAAGGGGCAGGGATTATTCCCTGAAGGATAAGGGAATGAGAGATAGAGACAGCAGCTTTTGGAAATGTCAGTTTTATTAAACATTTAGGACATTTGGGGTTTGAGAAGAAATATACAGAATGTAGAAAAATCCTACGAATCCCCTGTGGATGGGAGTGCATCCTCTTCCCTTTCTCCCCCATTTTCCTGTGTTTTCCCTACTTTCAGTTAGGCTGTTTAAAAACCATTTTGAAGGTTTGCTTACCCCCTCACCCACCCCTCGACCTGTGAGGATCCATTGTCCCTCTGTCCTTCCCCAAGATCCATAGTCCCAGAAGTGTGTTCCAAAAGGGTTCAGGGAACACCAATCCTGTAGGTGAGGTTTAGGATTGGGGCTCCACTGCTGCTGGGGCTGGCTCTCTGTTAAGGACTTAATGGAAGTGGGGAATTGCAAGAGCCACATGACGTCATTGGTCCTCAGTCATGGGGGAGGGGGCAGATCATAAGCACAAGTAAAAAAAAATAAAAAAAAAAAGAGAGAGAGAGAGAGAGAGAAAATGGGTTAAAAAATAATCAACAATCTAAATAAACCCTGAAGGAGAAGTCTGATTTGGGTAATCTGGGTGTTAGCTGAGAGGACAGAGTATGGGACTGGACCATCTGATAAAGGGGTGGCGCAGACAGGAAAGAGCCAGAGGGACAGGCTGGGTACTGGGGAAGAAAATGCCAGGTGGCTTGGAGTTGGGAGGAGGACATAATCAAGGTACCTTTGTTCTTGGTGCTCAAGAGACAATTACCAAACACACAGTCCTTGGGGCTGGGGTAGGTGGGTAGGATCAGGCCTTGGGCTCCCAGAGAGCCAGGGGTTGAAGGTGGAGGAGCATGTGAACTGATTGGGAAATGAATTTTGGAATGAAACTTACATCTCAAAGGGAGGGGAGAGGAGGGCAGGGCTGGGGAGCAAGGGAAAAAAGCACCTAGACCCGGGGTGTGAGGGGTGGGGATTAGAGGAGCCTATGTCCTCATGCTCTGGCAGGGCCTGGAGGGGGCGGTGGTGGTGGTGATCACTTGTCCAAGTCCAGGCCCATCATGTTCTTGAGGGCGTTCTTGAGGCTGGTTCTGCTGGGGGACTTGATAGCAGGGCGGAGCTCAGAGCTCTGCTCATCCTTTTGTAGCTCCATCTCTATGACTACCACCTTTTGAGAGCTTTTGGAGGGCTCCACCCCTGACCCCCGGCCCCCCGCCCGGCCCGCTAACCGCTATTTCTTATCCTTGCGAGACTCTCCCAGCCCTTTGGACTTTTTCTCACTGGCAGCTTTGGTGCTTCTGCTGTGGTCCAGCATGGCATACAGGACTGGCGTCTGGAGGCGGGGAAGAGAGGATGTAACCATCAGTCACCGGTCAAGGGGTCTTTAAGTACCCCCATCCCAGCCATTCATTGCAACGCGACTGCTGCCACAGTTCTCCTCCCTGCCTTGTCCTGCTAACCTGCCGGCCACGCTTAGAGTCCTTTGCAGATTTATGAAATTTCCCCTTCTCCATGGCACTGCAGAAAAAGGGCGTGTTAGGAGTTTGGGGCCCACCAGAACCAGGAGCCCCCATGCAGAAAAAACTGAGTTTCCTTCTTCCTTTGCCCCTCCCTGACCCGCTGGAGTAGTTTCCGCCCAAATGGGAGGTTGTAGGGCTAGGGGCAGGGGAGTCACGCTCCGCCCCTTACCTGAGCCTTCTCTGTAGGGCTGCCTGCCTGCGTAGCCAGCAGTACCGCACCAGGTAGAAAAGCAACAACAGCAACAGCACTACCCCCAGGACACCCCCTATCACAGCTCCCAGCACCAGCCCGTACCTAGTTGGCACTGGGAAAGGACGGAAAAGAAATGAGGGAAAGAGCAAAATCTGCATCTTCTCATTTTTTTAGCCCACACACCTATTCCCTGCAGTTAAGAATGTACACCCCTCCCAAAGTCAGAAGGGCTCGAGGCCCAGCTTTTTGCCTCTTCCCCCAGCCTTTCGGTCCTGTCTTTGCAAGGTCTCTGTCTTCTTGGTATTGCCGCCCTGATCCCTGCTCCCCATTTCCTCTCACACCTTTTTCAAAGACGTAGAGTGTGACCTGAGATGTCTTGCCCACTATGTCCGGTGGGTTTTTGACGTCACAGGTGAAAGTGCCGTTGTCACTGTAGTCCAGGTTGTGTATGATAATGGAACCATCCTTCCATCGAGGGTCCCCTACCCACTGGATGCGCTCTTTGAAGGTCCCCACCTCATCGATATAGGGTTGCCCTTTGGCATAGTGAAAGATCTGAGGAACAAGGGGAAAGCATGTGAGAAGGCTCTAGCGAGAACAAGGCTATCAAAGCTTGTTTCGGACCTTAGAGTGACTGTGGGTGGTGGTAAGGGAAACAGTTTAGATAGGTCCTGGCCAGGGTGACAAGGATAGCCACTGCCACTTACCTTACCAAAGTTGGGGTTATAGCTCATAAAGGACTTACCCCTTTCTGCCACTGCCTCTTACTTTACCAAAGTTGGGGTTATAGCTCATAAAGGACTTACCACCCTTTCTGTCTCCTTGCCAGTTATCAACCTCCCGGGATTCCCCCAGGTACTCACCGAGATGGCATCGCGGCCTCCTTCGGGCTGGTAGCGCCAGGTGAAGGAGATGTCATCTGAGACCCACTCACTGGACCAGAAGGAGCAGTGAAGGGTCACTCGGGAGCCCACAGCACCATGGACCACCCTGTCCGTGTAAACCACAATGGCCTGGACTGGGGACGGCACTGCAAACACACAGCATGTATCAGATACCCCGTGGGCCCAACGACAGAGATCAACAGGAAGTCAAGAACCGACAGGTCCGTGAAACGATCAATTCTGAGGTCAATGTAGTCACTAGGGTTAGTGTTCTCCATTGCGATATCTCAGAGTCACCCCCACCGTGTAGGAGGAACCTGCCAGCGACCTCCGCCTCAGGTAGGCGTGTCCGCCCCGCCCCAAGCCAAGCGCAGGACTGAGAGCTGCCCGAACGGCCCCGCCCTTCCCAGCCGGGCTCTGGGCAGCTCCTCCACTCTCCCTTTAGACAAAGCGGAGATCCCCCTGTCTACCCTAGGGTGGGTTCAGCTACCCGCGCTCCCTCACCTGCCGCAGCCGCCCTGAAACCTGGGGTAATTTTGGTGTGACCCTTCTGACAGGATCAGGGGGTACCGCTCCCCTCTAGTGACCCACTGTCTGGGACCAAACTATATCTAGATTAACTGAATTGCTATAGAGTGCTGTTGAATCGGTTCCTACTCGTAGCGACCCTGTATAGGGTTTCCAAAGAGTGGCTGGTGGGTTTGAACCCCGATCCTGAGGTTAAAAACCCAGTGCTATCCTACAGAGGACTTCAGATTAACTGAATGTTGTTGTTAGGTGCCATCGAGTCGGTACCGACTCATAGGGACCCTATGCACAGCAGAACGAAACACTGCCAGATTAACTGAATAGATGAGCATAAATCCTATGTCAAGTCAAGCTTTTCAGCATGTTCTGTAGAGGAAATGAAGTCAGCAGTAACTGAATTCTCTTGAAAACTTCCAGAAGTTGATTTCTGTTTCCAAATCTCACTTTCCCTTTGAGTTGTATCTACTAAATCTTTCCCTTAGAGCTTTAAATTTTATTTTTATTTATCATATATTACACAAGAAAACATATTACATCCATCTTACATTTACACAATAGTGATACAGTTTAAGTCTCCCTTGATACCTTCCAACCAATTTTTTTCCTGTAGTCCGCTCTCAGATATAACCACTGCTAGTTCTTCAGACTGTAAAGTCCTTTGAACTGCAAGGTCGGTGGTTCAAGCTCACCAGCTGCTCCTTGGAAACCCTATGCAGGGTTGCTATGGGTCAGAATCGACTCGACAGCACTTAACAACAACAACAAATCAGCTTAATGTGTATCCTTTTCCTAAGCATTCAACTCTGGTAATGCTGGTAGTGCAGTGGATCACAGGGTAGGCTTCTAACCTAAAGGTCAGCAGTTTGAATCCATCAGCCTCCCCATGGGAGAAGGATGAGCCTTTCTGCTCCAGTTAAGATTTACAGCTTCTGAAACCCTATACAGGGTTGCTATAAGTTGGAACTCACTTGAAGCCAAAAAAAGCAAAAACAAAAAACCAAAACCATTTCAATATAAACTCCCTCTCTCTTTCTCTATGTGGTGGTGTTGCTGTTGTTAAGTGCTTGGGAGTTGATTCTGACTCATAGCGACCTGTATAGAGTTTCAGAGGAGCAGCTGATGGGTTTGAACTATCGGCCTTGTGGTTTGCAGTCAAGTGCTGATCCTACAGCACCATACCCAGAGTCTCTATGTATATATGTGTGTAGAAAAGGAGCTATGGTAGTGTAGTGGTTACGAATCGGACTGCGAACTACAAGGTCAGCAGTTCGAAACTACCAGCTGCCCTGTGGGAGAAAGATGAGGCTTTCTGCTCCCGTAAAGATTTACAGCCTTGAAAACCCTGTTCAGGGTTGCTATGGGTTGGAACCAACTCGATGGCACTTAACAACATACCTATAAGAAAGGAGTCCTGGTGTGGTGCTGTGGGTTAATGTGCCAGACTGCAAAGCCATTTGAACTGCAAGGTCGGTGGTTCAAGCTCACCAGCTGCTCCTCAGAAACCCTATACAGGGTTGCTATGAGTCAGAACCAAATCGATGGCACTTCACAACAACAACACATATAAGAAATGGAGTCATGGTGTGGTGCTGTGGCTTAATGTGTCAGACTGAAAAGCCGTTTGAACTGCAAGGTTGGTGGTTCCAGCTCACCAGCTGCTCCTTGGAAACCTTATACAGGGTTGCTATGGGTCGGAACCGGCTCGATGTCACTTCACAACAACAACAACCTATAAGAAACACATAGTGTTGGTCTCTGTAATGTTTCCTTACTCACATTGCCTTATATTCTACCTTTTTTTGCATAAGAAATATGTGTCTGAGGGTACTTTCTATGTTGATTCATACAGGCCAAGCTTATTTTTAACAGCTCTGTAGTATTTCACAATATGGCAAACTCAAGCTTCATGTAAAAATAAATAAATAAATAAAGGCACTAACTAGAGAATTTAACTTTTCTTCCCTGGTACAACTCTTCCTCACTACTAAATTCTCAGTTTCCATACAGCCTGCTCTTGACTTGGGGTCTGGGAGGAAGGATCTCACACCCTAAAAGACCCAGAGCCCAGAACTCAGTAGACTCTGCAATGTGAACTCTTTGTGGTTCGACCCTCTTTACCCTCCCCAGCCAATCTGGCCCAGTGCCACTCCCAAGATCTACCCATAAAGAAGGAAATTCCAGGGAGACTATGTGTGTGGGCTGGCCCCTGGGTGGGGATGACTGTGGACCCTTTTGTTCTATAGGAGAGGGAGGGGGCAACCAATCAAACAAAGCCCTGCTGTCTGACAAATGTTGGGGCTCATGCCACTTGCTTCCATGGTTTTAATCTCCCACTTCAACATAGGATATCACTGACTCATCTCCTGGAGGGGCTTTAGAGCTTTTCTGGAAATCCCAAATGTAACAAAGGAGGCTCTTCACTGGATCTTGTTTATATTTCTTCTATTATAAAATCTATCATTGTCCTTCTCAGCTCTGCTCAATGATTCTATATATGGGGCAGGTGCTGGGACAGAGTTCTCTCCCCTCTTTGAACTCCAACATACTCTCTCTCCATTTTTCTCACTGTGCCTGTTTCCAACTCCTTATCCTTAGCAATTTCTCAGGATGCCCCAAAACAGACCAGAAAAGTCTAAATTCTGTGCTTAGAATTTAAGGAACTGACAGCAGAGAATTTCAAAAGTTCTGAACAAACTTGCCTCCTCTCTGTCTACTTATTGCTCACCCATTGCGCTAGGCTTCAGGGCAATTCAGAGAATACATTCAAACAACCTTGCTTTGACCCAACATCTGCCACAGGCTTGGAAGCAGCTAGTCAATATAAGAAAGAAGACAGCTTTAGAAGGATATGATCCTAGATTCTTCCTTCTACTACACTCATTCACAAGATAGAAGATAACACCCAGCGAGAAACCAAGGCACCAAAAATCATAGGATCTGAGGATTTGGGACCAGAAATCTTGAACTCCCTTCTTTAGATGACATTCTCTGCCTTTTCTTTTCTTGGAAACTAAGGCCAGTTACCTCCTGCATTGCTAGAAGATGAGTGGAAACCAGAATCCTTTCCACGCTTAGAACAGCTTTCTACCAGATTCTCAACATGGCTCTGTGGGCAGCCCTGGTGGTGCTGTAGGGTAAGCACTGGACTTCTAACCAAAACATCAGCAGTTCAAACCCCACAAGCCACCCCTTAGGAGAAAGATTAGGCTGCTTGCTCCTGTAAAAATTAGAATTTCTCTATAACCAATCTCTTCACAGACTACTGTTACTGCCTCCTTCTAAACCATCTCTTTATCCCACCCCTCTCTAAATATATTTCCTTCCTGCTTCTGCTTATTCTTTCTTTGACTGCAGTTAGGGAGTGGGGAGTGGAGAGAGAGCAGTGAAGGCAGCATTGGATAAAGACCTTGAAGTAGGGAAGTTGCTGAGAGACCACCTGAGCTTCAGAGATCCCAGACTGGGGTGGCTCCACTTACCCAAAGAGGAGAAGAGCAGCACAGCCAGGAAAGGGCTGGGGCTGGACGAGGGAGCCCCAGGAGCCATTGCTGGGGCAGGGGCTAGAACCTGGAGTGTCTGAGGGGTTGGGAGAGTGGGGGACAGGGAACTGAGCGGGGGTTCCTGGAACCCGCTTAAAATCCCCTGGGGCCCGAATTTGAGGGGGCTGTCTTGAGTCAGCAACCAATTGCAGGCTGGCATGTGCAGTTGAGAGGTGGTAGGGAGGGGGGCAGAGTGCAAGGAGCAGAAGGGGCATTGTGTGCTCTGGGTGGAGGGGTAGGGGGGGTCACATACCACCCCATACACAGAAGGTTTTGTGTCCACTGGCCTCCCCCTACCCCAGGCTGGAATGTTGGAGGGTGGCAAGAGAAAAGGACAGAAAAAAGGACACTGACACACTTCTCTGAGGGGTAGGAACCTGAATCCTAAGACCATGAAAAGGGATTCCCCTCTAGGTTTCCCTACAGTCCTAGGGGCTAAAGGTAGGTTTCCCCCAGAGAACTCTGAAAATATGATGTTGTTAAGTGCCTTCAAGTTTGTTCCGACTCTTAACAACCCTGTATAGGGTTTCCAAAGCACGGTTGGTGGGTTTAAACCTCCAACCTTGAGGTCCAGTACATTATCCTGGAATACCACATTAGGACTCCTGAAAACAGGATGCTGTTATTAAGTGCTGTGAAGTTGATTCTGACTCATATGAACCCTGTATAGGGTTTCCAAGGAGTAGCTGATGGGTTTGAACCGCTGACTTTGTGGTTCAAACCGACCCTGTGGTTGAGTGCTTATCCTACAGTGCCACACCAGGACTCCAGATTCCATGATGTTGTTGTTGTTGTTGTTAAGTGCTGTTGAGTTAGTTCCAACCCATAGCGACCCTGTATAGGACTTCCAAGGAGCAGCTGGTGAGTTTGAACTGCTGACCCTGTGGTTCAAAGTGATGTGCAGTCCAGCACATTAACCCACAGTATCGCACCAGGACTCCAGACTATGATAACCCTGGTTAATCTGGAATATCATAAACTGTATTACAGGTTTCTAGAAGTGACCAGGCCCTTTGGGAGTCTTTCTTTCTTTTTTTTTTATAAATCTCCCTGAATCCTGGGCGATTCTTCTCAGATAGGAACTTTCCTCCACTGGAAAATTTCCAGGGACAAAGCCCTTGACCTTTCTCTCTTTGTTAGGAAATTCTTCAATACCTCATGCTGCAGATTAGGCCCATTTCAATTTAGATCAAGGCAACAAAATTATATTGAAAGTCAGCTATCTGTAAGGTATGAGGATGGGGGTAATAACAAGAGGAACAAAAAATTAAGTTTCTCTCTCAAGCAGTTCAAATGCTAGTTTGAGGAGGTGGAGAGAGGAGGATCAAAGGACATCAACAACCAATTATAATAAATATGCTTATTGTAGTCAAATAAAACTCCTGGTGTGGTACTAAGGGTTAATGTGCTGGACTGCAAAGTCTATTTGAACCATAAGGTCTGTGGTTCAAGCTTACCAGCAGCTCCTCAAAAACCCTATACAGGGTCACCATGGGTCGGAACTGACTCGATCGATGGCACTTAACAACAACAACATAGTCAAATAATAAATTGCTGGAGTACAAAGGAGGGCACAAACAGCTGCAACATCAGGAAGATAGAATAAGTTATATAACAAAGATGGAAAAAATAAACTTCATTTAATAAATACAGTTCAGAGGAAGGGGTAGTAATAGCTAGGAGATAATATTAAATATGGACCAACGTTGAAGGATGAGTGCCATTTTGAAAAGAAGGTATGGGTAAAGAGGGTATCCAAGTAAGTGAAACTACAAAAGAAAGGGCAAATATGTGATTTGCTCTTTATTGAACTTCCCATACTTCCATCTGGAATTGTTCTTCTGTCTCTCTTCTTCCTTTCCATCAGGCCTTGACTTTTCCTAGACCTTGCTTCTTCCTCCTGTTACTTTTAAGATAAACTGTGGCAATAAGGGACTTGACTTAGTCTTTGGCCTGAATCTTAATGTGCTTTTTTTCTATCAATTATGAGCTCCTGAGGTTAATTTCAGAGGGAGGTGGGCTACTGTTGATCCTGTTGTAGAACCTTTGCAGGTTCTCCCCTAAAGCTATAGACTCCTGATGTCTTTCCTGGCATTTCTTTAGATCAGTTAGGATCACTTTAGATGGATGATTATTATTAGATTTGGGTTGTTGAGATCTAAACATTGGGTTTAATTATAAGGCAAAAATCATCATCATCAATAAATGTTTACAGGGTGTTTTAGTCAATATTTGGGACCTTGGCATTCCTTCCCATCTTACTCTCCAATTATAGGTAGTTACTTTCTCCTTTTCCAACTACCTTTAAAAAAACAAAACAAAACTATAATCCTGCTATAAGCTTCTGAGGACAATATATGTGTCTACATCTTTCCATACCCTACACGTTTCCGACTTGTTAAATGGAATTGTTTTAAGAGCTAAGTGGAAGAGGCATTCATTGGATTTGCTAACTTGACATTCAAGAGGGCCAGATTAGGATCTATGACTGAAGTTCAATAACAGAAAACTGTATATTGATACAACTTCCTAATGATTAACATCTTCATAAAACAGAACTTGTTTTTTGAAATAGTTATAATTGACAGTGTTGGAGCAAAGGCTTGAAGATCAACTCAGAGATGTTGCAGAGGAGACACCCCTCCTCCATCCTTTCCCCCTTCCCCCCCCCACCCCGCATTGGAAATAAATTGGGTTGGAGAATTTCTAAGGCCCTTCCAATCCTAAAGTCTATGTATCAAAGTGATTTCTTTGTCAAGCATTATAGAAATGCAAAATAGTATTTATTTAATGCAAAAATAAATGAATTTGTGCTATTTAAATCCTGAAAAGTCCAGGAGAGCTAAATATAAATAAGACTTGAATATTAATATCACTGAATATGTTTTATTGTAGAATAGAAGTTGCTCTGGGCTATTCTCCCCCCCAACCAAATAAAAGGCTCATGAACTCTTGCACTTTATTATGTTCCTTTATCACTTGATCTTTTCCCCCCTTAAATCATAAGTACTCTGCAAATTATTCCTGTGTTTGGGTTTCTTAAAACTTTGTAAATATATATAAAATATTGGGCTATCGCCCCTTCACCCCAGGTTTTTCGGGCTGTGGGTGTCGCCCACACAGCTCTGAAACAAAAAACAAGAGAATGCTGTCTTTGGCTAGTGGGCGTTTAGTTTATGCGGCATCTGAAGCCCAGGAATTGTGGGACATAAAGCTAATTGAGATAGAGAAGGTTCCTTGTTCTTGGGAATGGTGGTCTGCGAGATTTGTCTCTTCCTCAGGCCCTCCTCACACCTCCTAACGTGGGTCTCAACTTATGTATCTTTATATAGGGTGAAGCTTCACATTAGAAGAGGGGGAAGCTAAGGTAGCTTTATCCCTGGGCTTCTCAGAAGGTCTTTATCAAGATGTTTTTAGGCCGACCTGGGCAGGAGGGGGTGAGAAACAGACTGAGATGCCCTCGGTGAAGAAGTTGGGGAAAAGCTAGCATTTCATGCGATACAAAATGAATACCTACTCGGTAGACTGCAAATTTTGAACCAGGGGAAATTCTGCCTACACCCTAGAAAATTTCGGTAGCAGTCAGCTGAGGAAAGTGGGAATGGTCACCAAAGAACTGAAATAAGTCAACAAGCCCTGTAAACAGAGATGAGAGAAGTTTGCGATCACTTTAAACCGCCTGGTATGGTCACATGACAGGTGCACCGCCTCCTCCTTCTTCTCCGCCCTCTGGTCTTGGTGCAGCTTTACGTCACTTCCGTCCTGTCTGGAATCCAAGATGGCTGCTCTCTTGCTGAGGTGACTTTACTGTGGGAATGGGAATCTGTGCCCGCGGCCCTCGGGAAACCTGAGGCCCTTCACGTCTAATTGACAGCGGTTTACCCTGTGTTTGGGCAGGGAAAGGATACATGAGTGTAGAGCCTCGCGTTCTGGAACCCTAGTGGTTACTCCCCCCCCGCCCCCCCGGTAGTTTTCTGTGCCCTGTAGGGGTCATTGAACCGTTGTTTCATACTTCGTCGGGAGGGGTCGTACGACTTTTCCCCTTTATGCGTTCCATCTCTTCTAGTTCTTCCGCAAATTGCTCTCGGGACCGCACTCAAAGTTGATCCCCTATAGAGTAAATAACTTTGCTTCGATATCTGCGGACCACGGGTCCTACAATTTCAAGATATTATTTAAGGATGGTCCCTGGGGAGGGTGTTGCCTTTGCTTCCAACGCCTGCAAACACTAGCTGCTGCCCTGCCGGGTTTCCTACAGGCTTCTGGGAACTACAGAAGTCCCGGACCCCTACAGGACAGGCGATTAGCAATAGCGTCTAGAGAATTAATTTTTAGTGTATCTTTTGATTCAGTGGGGGGAGTGGGTGGCCCAGGTTTCCCCTGCAAAGTCAAATACACTGTCCGGAGAAATATCCGAGGTTTTCTTCCTAACTAAACTGTCCACAGGCCTCATTCTCTATTTGGAGCCTTTCTAGCCATGGCAACTTTAGACACGCCTCATACAAATCCCAGCATTTTATGCCAATCCTATTTTTGGAAAGTTTTTAATGGAAAGTTAGCATTAATGCTGTTGACATTTCAATGGCTGATTTCCCCAAACTACTTCTAATTTTTCTTATCAGTATAAATCATCTAGTATAAAAGTAAAGTGATTTTGTTTAGTTTTCCTTTTTGACAAAATGATTCCTCTTGGAGTTGACTTCAGGATTGGGTTTTTTTAACCCTCATTTTCTCTCTTTGTCTCTTAACCGTACATATCTTTTACTCCCAACTCTTCAGGGTATACCAGGGCCAGTCTTGCTAGAGCTGCCTCTGTTATTCTAGGTGGTTTGATCTTATTTTGAACTCCTTGACAAATCGTATTTTAGTAGTTGTCAGGGGACTTAGGTGGAATTAACCTTTATCTTGAAATGATATTATTAGTTTCAAATGGATAATTACAGAGTTCCAGAACTCGTCATTAGAAGCTGAGGGTCATTGTACTCATTAAGTATGTTCAGAAAGTATCTTTTTGAGTTATGTAGAACTGTTACTATTAGGATTCAATGCCAAGAAGTAGAGGTGTTTTTTATTAGTAGTAATGGAATCTTATGCTCTCAGGAAGGATAGCTTCTGTCCATTTCTCACAGGGTTATTTTTTACCAAAGAAATTAGATAATTTTTTTTTAAAGAAATCGTTTAATTCCATTTCACTAGAGGGATCTGTAACTATTTTTCATGTACAGATTAACCTCAGAGAAAATTTTACCTTCTAAAAAATTCTAGGAGCTGGTTTCTAGTTCTTTTAGCATTAATACTTCCATCCCTTGCTGTTATTGTTAAGTGCCATTGAGTCGATTCCGACTCATTGCAACCCTGTGTAGGGTTTCCAAGGAGCGGCTGGTGGGTTTGAATCACCTTGCGGTTCAAATTGACCTTGTGGTCCAGTGTATTGTCTTGTAGCGCCACACCAGGTCAATGACAGGCCAAAGTCATTGATTCTGTGATGTGTTTTCCTCATCTATGAGTTGAAAATGGTAATAATGGGGCCCACTTAAGATGAATATGGGTTAAATATTTCTGCTGCTTGACTAATTAAAAATTGTTAGTTATCAAGGTACTGTATGCTTTTGAATAGTGCTTTCTATTTTGTATACTCCCTAAGTAGTTCATAGATCAGCCAGGGATGAACAGCACCTAGTTAAGGAATGACTAGCTAAAGCCAAGAAGGAGGTGGTGGTGTTGTTAAGTGCTGTCGAATTGGTTCCAGTTCATAGCTACCCTGTATAGGGTTTCTGAAGAGCAGCTGGTAGTTCTGCACTGTTCCCAATCCAGTGCTGATCCTACAGCACCACACCATAAATCCAAGGAGGAATGAACCATTAGCTTGAAATGGTGACCCCACGTGTTTTAGAGTAGAACTGCACTCCATAAGGTTTTCAATGGCTATAATCTTACAGAAAGGAGCTCTGGTAGTGTAGTGGTTACAAATCGGGCTGCGAACTGCAAGGTCAGCAGTTTGAAACTACCAGCTGTTCTGCGGGAGAAAGATGAGGCTTTCTGCTTCTGTAAAGATTTACAGCCTCCGAAACCCTATACAGGGTCGCTATGAGTCAGAACCGACTCCACGGCACATAACCACCACCACCACAACAACAGTCTTACAGAAGCAGCTCATCAGGAACTACTCATTCACAAAATGTGTTTTTGAGCCTCTTCTATGTGCCAAACAGTACAGGTATTGTGGATATAAAATATTCCAGTTGTACTCTTGAGGAGCCCACAGTCTAGCAGGAGAGATGTAGTTTGTATTAAGTGCTGTCAACTTGGTTCTGACTCATAACGATCCTGCATAAAATTTTCGAGGAGTGGCTAGTGAGTTTGAACCACTGACCTTGTGAACTTGTGGTTCAAACCGACCATGCAGTCCAGTGCTTTATCCTATCAGGTTTGCCATATCAGGACTCCAGGAAAGATAGATAGATTAATTATTAAGCAGCATAATGAAAGTTGATACAGAGATAAGAAAAGTTGGTATGAACATGGCAGGTGCAGCAAGGAAGGCTAAGGAAAAGGACTTACTTGATTTTAAAGAACTGAGTTTTTCAGTCTACAAAGGAAGTTCCTATCAGACTACCATGAGCAAAGGTATTGTCATAGAGGCCTTACTCTGTCTGTGCTTAACAAGAGTTAAGTGAGACAGAAGTGTAGGAGGTTGAGGGGAGTTTGTAATAGGATGGTTCTAGAGAGGTGGACTGGTGCCATATTGGGAAGAACCTTGTTTGCCAACAATTTGGACTTTATGCCATAAGCAGTGGAAACTGTTAAAAACTTTTAGGCATAGGAGTGATGAAAGTCCCCTCTCCCCCCCTCCCCCCACCCAGTATGTTAACTTTGAAGTCCTGATGTGCTGATGTGGCGCTATAGGATAAGCACTAGACTGCTAATCGCAAGGTCAGCAGTTCACATCTACCAGGTGCTCATCAGAAATTCTATACAGGGTCTCTATCAGTTGAAACTAACTCAGTAGCACTTTACAACAACAATAAGCTCTGGTGATGCTGAATAATGAGAGAGATCTGTGCTAGGAGCATGGGTTCAAGAGCTCCTATTACATTCCTAGTAAGAAATGAAGAAGATGTGGACTAAAGGAATGTACTAGAGTGGAGAGAAGTTTCATAGGTAGTATTGGTAGAATTGGATGATGCCGTGTGTGTGTATATATGTATGTATGTATAACCCTATACAGGGTCACTATGGGTCAGAACCGACTTGACAGCACTTAAAAACAACATATATATATATGTTGTTGTTAAGTACTGTGGAGTCGGTTCCGACTCATCAGGACCCTGCATAGGGTTTCCGAGGCTATAAATCTTTACGAGAGCAGAAGGCCTCATCTTTCTCCCACGGAACCACTGGTAGTTTTGAACTGCTGACCCTGAGGTTAGCAGCCCAATTTGTAACCACTACGCTATCAGAGCTCCTTACATACACATAGATATACATGTGCATACACATACATGCACATACATATGCATATACATATATATGTATATGTATGTAAGGAGCTCTGGTAGCGTAGTGGTTACAAATTGGGCTGCTAACCTCAGGGTCAGCAGTTCAAAACTACCAGTGGTTCCGTGGGAGAAAGATGAGGCCTTCTGCTCCCGTAAGGATTTACAGCCTTGGAAACCTTGTACGGGGTCACTATGAGTCGGAACCGACTCCACGGCACATAACCAACTATAACTATATATTTAAAGAGAAAAGAAAAGGAGCCCTGGTAGTGTAGTGAGTTACGTATTGGACTGGTTAGCAGTTTAACCCCACAAGCTGCTTCATGGGCAAAAGATGACGCTGTCTACTTCCCTAACGATTTACAGACTCAGAAGTCCTAGGAAGCAGTTCTACGCTCTCCTGTATTGTCACTGTGAGTCAGAATCAACTAGATGGGAGTGGTTGGAAAGAAAAAAGAAAAAATCAAGGATGACTAAGGTTGTAGCAAGGAATCTTGGTAGGACTAACTGTAAGGTCAGTGGTTCAAATCCACCAGCCGCTCCATGGGATAAAGATGAGACTGTCTCCTCCCATAAAGATATTTAGTGTCAAAAATGCTAAATAGGGTTGGTATGAATTGAAATCTACTTGAAGGCAATGGGTAAAGTTATAATTTGGGAATTGGTTGGGTGACATTTGCTACAACTTTTGTACATAAAATGAATGTATTTCAACATGCCCTTCAAGGTTATATTATCTATTTTAGTGTTGCTATTACCACAGACATTTATGAAACTTTTGGGAATACCATCAGATCAAGTTTAGAGGTCATAAAGAGAAACTCATTATAGTCACATCTTGTTTTGGACCAGAAACTGTCTTCTTCAGTTTGATTACATAGACTTGGCTTTGAATAACTTGTTATTTTCCAGAAGTCAGATCTGTTCTTAGCAAATTACTACTTTTTATCACCACAAGGGTTTAAAAGAGAATGTGATGTGAATTCTAAAGATCTTAGGGAGACCAATGAAATAATACTAATATCTTACATATATATGGTATATTTCAGTTTAGAAACTGTTTTCATATACATTTTCTTATGTAATCCTCCCAGCAACCAATTAGGTAGGTCTTATCAATACCATTTTGTAAATGAGAAAACTAACTCAGTGGCTTGCTGAAGTTACTTAACTTATTAAGAGCAGATCTAGGACTCTAGTCTGTTTTTTTTTTTCACTTTGTCCAATGTTTTTTTCTACATTACTGTTGCTGCCCCAATCTAGAAAGGGGTTTCAAAAACAATTTGAGCAATAATTACATTTTTTAGGAGACATGCTTGAGAGAGTTGCAAAAAGTTCCTGGAAAAAATTCAAAGATAATGGAATTTTTGTATGAACTTTTTGAGGATCCCTTGTATAAATTATTCAAACATTTGGAAGGGGACGACTCTAGCTAGAAATTATAAATTCTGCTTTGTGAATTAAAAAAAAAAAAAAAAATACTATTACTTTGTAGTTATAACATGTAAAGTACCATTCCTGGCTAGAAGAAAAATCTCAGAGCTTTGGCTTAACAGGAAAGGCAGGATAGAGATTTCCTTTTGTCATATTTTGAATGAGGTTATGGAGTCTGTGCAGCTAGTTTCTGTAAGGGCCTTGTGAAAGTTTACATTGGTATTTATCTGGGAAACAATAGCACAAGATAGAGCGAAAGCGCCATAGATTCCAACCCACATCTACAAACTCTTGCTGGGTAGCTGAGTGACTGGGCCTAGCTCCGTGTGAGGAATGTGTGCCCTGCAACTTTACAGTCACAATTACTTCAATTGATTTACAGAGATTTGTTCCCACTTCTTTTTGGGAGGCTTTGGTACACAATGTCTGTATTCACCTCTTGTCTCCAGAGCTGAAAAGAGGGAAGAGTTGAAGAAGAAAACTTTGGTTAGATTTCTTCCCTTCAAATAGTGGATGCTTCTAGTGTACTAGGTGAAGCATAAGGCACTGATATATTTGTACATCTAGTTGTGCATTTAATTTCAATGGTGTGTGGGGGTGTGGGACATCATAAATTTCCTTAGAAGGTTATTAGATGTTAATGAGATCTTACATCTGCATAATGCCTTGCACATAGTGGATATGCAATAAACTTTTATAGAATCGATGTTTTAAAAAAATTGCAGAGCTTCACTCTGATACTTATCTCTTAAATGTTTTTGTAAAGAGTTGATCTAATGATAGGACGAAAGCGGTTTGGTGTTACACTTTTCATAGTACTGCATAAACTTTGATTGGTTTAATTCTCCTTAACTATAATGCCTAGGTATGTCTTGTTTTTTTGATTTGAAAAGCAGTTCCAATACTGACATGTTGTTGTCAGGTGCCATCGAGTCGGAACTGACTCATAGCGACCCCATGCACAGTAGAACGAAACAATGTC